GAGAGATGCAGCGGCTCGAGTTCCGCTGTGGTGTAGTGGTAAGCAGTGCGCGCTTTCACTCACCAGCACCTGGGTTCAAGCCCTGGTCAAAGCAACATCGCAAAACATTTAGAAAAAGGTTTTTTATTAACACCGTCGTCCCTCGGCAGGCAATGGCAAACCTCCGAGTGTAGTTCTGCCATGAAAAACAGTTTCTCATAAAAATACAATTGCCGTTCGGAGTCGGCGTAAAACTGTAGGTCCCTCCGCTTTATGTGACAATATCAAGGCGCACGCCACAAGTTGGAGGAGAAGCTCGGCCAAACACTAACATGTGTGTAAGCGCCAATCTATTATTATCATTAGTGGCTCGAGTTCCAGCATTACCTCCAGCGCTGCCGTCGGGCATGTGCGCATTGCTCCCGTAATGCAAACACATGCCAGACGTTGAATCTTGGAGAGACTCTGCCTCACCGTTCTCAAAGTAGTCCTGGAATACCAAGCCACCGCACCATATGTCACTATTGGTTCCACTATCGGGGTGTACATCCATCTGAGGATCCTCGGAGTGCACCCCCAGGATTTACCCGCTAGACGTTTGCACACCATCATCGCTCTCGTGGCCTTAGAGATGACCCCATCAACATGGGCCCTCCACAGAAGCTTGGAGTCCAGGGTAAGCCCCAGATACTTAACCTCTGTGGCGATTCTGATTACGACCCCGTCCAAGGTCAAGTTCCTCATCCCCTGGAGATTTTGTTTCTTGGTGAAGGGGACTATGGCTGTCTTAGAAGGGTTGATATTTAAACCAACGTCTGCGCACCACCTTTTTACAACGTTAAGTCCTCTTTGGACGATGTCACCGAGAGTACTTGCGAACTTCCCTATAGCGCTAATCACTATGTCGTCCGCGTACCCTTGGCAACGGACGCCCTCGTTAGTAAGTATCTGTAGGAGTTCGTCCACAACTAAGTTTCACAGTAGAGGAGAGTGCCCTTTCCTTTTCAGTACCTGAAAATGCAACATTAGGTAGCCTAATAGCCAACATGGTCCCTGTGTTGTCTCTCGCTAAGGCTTTATGCAGCCTAGCAGCTGCAGGAGTAGATGCGATGTTCTCACAAAAGGTCCTGAAGCTGCTACGCTTGGCCTTCCTAATCTCCTTATTGTATTTTGTCAGACTGACTGAGTACTCCTTCCAGTTCTCGGTGCGCTTTGCCCTGTTAAAAAGTCTCCGCACCTCCTTCCTAAGAACTGAGAGTTCCCGTGTCCACCAGGGAGGCTGAGCTTTGAGGTAAAGGCATCCAGAATAGCGCCGTTCAGCTTGTTGACCCTGTCCTCTTACTCCATACAATCCACCTTTCTATGTTGTGCCTCTATTCAGGTTAGGTCCAACTTAAGTACCTCTTCGTATTTACCCCAGTCTGTTTTACTGGGGTTTCTCTTTGGGTGACCTGTCAGAACCTCAGCTGCCAGTGCAAATCGGATAATCCTGTGATCCGACAGTGAGGGCTCAGATGAGACCCGCCACTGAACGATCATAGGACTGGCCAGTCCGTTGCTGAGAGTGATGTCAAGTACCTCCTCTCTGACCCTAGTTATGAACGTTGGTTCATTACCGACATTGTGGATGCACAGGTCTTCACTGATTATACATTCTAATAGGCGCTCACCCCTACGGTTTGTGTCCGAGCTGCCACACTCTATATTTTGGGCGTTCCCATCGCAGCCAAGAATCGCCGGAAGTCGTTTCCTGCGGCAAAATTCCAGCAGCTGCTATACCTCAAGAGGCGCCACGATGGCGTTGTCCCCCGGAAAGTAGGCTGCAGCCAAGACCACCTCCAGTTCCTTCCCCTTAAGGTAGCTGGGACCGCTACCAGATCCTTTGTAAGAAATTCTGTAATGCAAAAATAATTGATATTATTCTTCAGCACTACGCACGCTCTGGGCCTCTCGCAGGAGAGGTCCCAAATTACCTTATTGTTGTTATGATTGAGGCCCCTCACCTGGCCTCTGTAGGTCCACGGTTCCTGTATCAGTAGGATTCCCAGGTCCTCCGTGGCAAACCTGCTTGCCATGATTGCCGAGGCGACCACCGCGTGATGCAAGCTGACCTGGGCTACTGTTAGCGATGTTGGGTTCATAGTTGGGGCTCGTCCTCGATGTCCGAGAACCGTACCTCATCCTCGCCTCCTCTGTCGAGTTCGACCCTGCCTATGTTCTCTAGGAGCTCCAGTGTGGGGCGCACATAGTCAGTGGCACTTGGCCCGTGAGCACTCACAAGAGCTGGTGCCTGTGCTGATTCTGGTGGCTGATTTTCCGGTAGGGCCGTGGTCGACTCGGTCGCTGGGGCAGCAGTGGAATCAGTAGCAACGTAGACTTGCATGTCTTGGGACTCTGACTCCTTGCTGCCTGTCGTCTTATGTCGCCATGGCCGCACCGTGACGTAACTGTAGCGGAAGTTGACTATCAATCCGGCCCTCTTGATGCTGACATACGACGCCTCATCGATCCCCAGGTTGAACCTGAGACCGTTGTCTTCGGCGCCGCATGAAACCACCTTCCACGCAGCCGTGTGGATGTCCTCGTTCTGGGCCTGGATGAGCCCCAGCACGAACTCAGTCGATTTCCCAGCGCATCTTGGGAAGAACACAGAGATATTATGCACCGGCGTGATGATCTCCCCCCACTTGGTGCACAACGCGGGCCCCTCCCACCCCTCAATGTTAGGTCCCTTATCTACCAGCCATGCTGCGGTCCGCTCATCCTTGCAGTCCACAAGGAGCATGTCTGACCTGAAAAATACCCAACAAAAGACCAGTGCGTGCTTCCACCCTTTAAGGACCTCATCCATGATGGCGTCCTGGAGTTTGGTTAGGTCCTCAGGCCTTAGGGCACCAGCAGGGTAATCACAGAGCATCCGAATAGCTAGGCTGCTTAGTGATTCCCTCCTGTGGCTGACCCTCTCCCGCGGACCCATCCAAACCCCTAGCCCTCTGTTGGAGGGGGTGGGAGCCCCCGCGGCCGTTTGCGGGACGGTGTCTCTGGTGGTGTGACCTGTAGGCTGGTGCGTTTTGGTGTAGCTGTTGATGAGCCTGTTATGTTAACTGTGGGTTCCCCGCTGCTCCGCCATTTGGCGGGCGCAGGTCTCTGCTGCTGTTGCCCGCTTCTCTGCTTTTCAGCAGGCGCGGGTAGTTCACCTCTCTGCTGCTGTCTTCTTGCTGTCTTACAGCTGCCACCCTGACTCCAGGGATGAGGTCCGACTAGGAGACCTGCGGTGCCTACTGCTAGAGCGGTGCCCGCTGCCGGAGCGATGCCTGCTCTTCGAGCGATGCCGACTCTTGGATCGGCCTCGGCTACCAGAGCGGTCATGGCTCCCGAAGCGGTGTTCGATGAAAAGGGCAGCCTCCTCCTCGGTTAGGCTCTCAAGGCAGCTTCCCCTGCGCCTGGTGCCTTTACTTTCGCCCAGCATAGTACTGCCGAGCTTGGCCGTTGGTACCTTTGGTGCCACTGGCACTCACTTTTGGTGACGAAGACAGTATCGTGGCTGCTGATGTAGCTGTAGTTGTGGTTGTAGCTTTACCTGTTGTAGTAGCTGTTGCTGATGTCGTAACTGTTGCTGCTGTTGTAGCTGTAGCTGTTGTCGCGTTTGATTTCGCGTTGGTTTTTGTTGTTTTTATGTTTTTTTGTTGTTTAGTTGTATTCATTCGACTGCCTGCTCGGCTAGGCAAGCTCAGCAGTCAAGGTAATAATATGGTCCGCCACGCCAGAGCCCCATGTCACGGTAAGGCCACCGTCACTCCTCGATGCGGCCCGGTGTCGAAGAGGTGCCGTTATACTACAGCCGGTTTATTCCCTCCTAGCTGTAAACCGTCCAATAGGCACGCTGTCGCGTCACACCCTGGATTAGGAGGTGGCAGTTCTTGGGCACCGTTTTCCGGCAGCCCCAATCTGGAGACAAGGTAGCGCAGAAGCGACGAGTGCGTCCACGATACCCCAGAGCAGAGATGGGCTGATCGGCAATTCAGCTAAGCCCCCGCACCAACGACAAGGTGCCTGCCCTAGCGAGGGTATAATATTCTTACGCTTTGAACATCTGTCAACACATTTCGGTCATTGTCGATACATACATTCATACGTACTATTTCGGTTGTCTAATGGAAAATAAACCAATTTATAAACGTGTCCTTCATCTTTAAATGAAGTTAATAAAATAGATAAACGTTCAAAGAGCTTAATTAAGTTGAAATGTGTGTTTTCTGCACACTTGTATTTGTTTGAAATGGTTCGTTATAGTACATTTTGTTAGGCGTAATTTATCAACTTATCAACTTTAACAACAAATTACTCGTAAACTATGAGTTTCCCCGCCGTCCGTTTTCAGTTTTGTGATGGTACGACCCCCTCTACACCCACCATAAAGTTATATTGGTCAAAGCGGGGATGCACTCTCCCGAAGTCAACCCTAGCGATTTTAAGAAATTGTAAACATCGATGGTAATCATCGAATTTTGAACCGCCATGACACAAAATACATGTAAACTTTGAGGCGAATTGAGATTTGACATTTTGCCCCTGATACAAAATACATGTGGTTGTTGTTTGTTGTATTCTTGCTACCACCTTGTATAAATTCGCCTTGAAAGAAGTTTTACAAATGTGCAGCATAGGGGAAGATGCCGGCAGTATGACTCCGCCATGGATTGTTAGCATTTTCTTTCCTATCGCTGTTTTCCCGTATGCAACTGTCTTGCTCGGTGGCAACCCTGCCTATCGCACTTCTTTTCCTTTTCTTACTCCTCTACTTCTTTCAATTCCTTTCGTCTCCAGCACATAATTCTATTGTGAATGTTAACATAAAAATTATTACTCTGCGAACATTCGAGACAGAAGCACGCCGTCTAAATTGTGTCTTTTACAATCCTAAAATAAAAAAAATAAAACCTTTTGCGTTTAGAGCTTCAGGTGTGGGTGCAAGTACCCATTTAGTTAAATAAAGTTAAATAAAAGTAATAAAATCGAATATGCCACAAAGGCTAACAAAGCAATTTCTAGTCGACGCTCTAATGGCAGCTAGTGTTGGTTTTCCCGCGACGGCTACGGTGGCGCAATTAAAGCGTTTATACGCCGCACACTGCACAAATGAGGCGCTCAATGAGGTGGACGACGACAACATATCCGACTTGGATGAGGGAGCAGCTCCAGACAACGGTGCCATCATAATCGACGCCACGCGGTATGATCAGGTACGAGATGCTCAAAATACGGTTACCGAAAATACCGTTGGCGAATGCCGTGACGCCGGCGCTAGCGCCCCTGCCGCTAACCTAAATAACGTTGCTGAAAATACCGTTCGTGAACGTCGTGCCGCCTATAGCCTTGCCGCCGGCGCTAAAAATGCTGCCGTTACCAATGCTGCCGTCACTATAACCCCCGCCGCTGACGATATTACTGCCAATGCCGATATTACCGCCAATGCCGAAAATGCTGCCTCCGTAAACCTTGCCGTCTCCAATAGCTACACCAGCGACAAAACTTCCGCTGGCGCTGACAACACGGCATCCAGCCCTACGAATGCCGGTGACGACTACACCGCTGATAATTTGGACCAGCAGATTACGGAATTAAGGAAGAAGCGCGAAATATTGGAGCTGCAACGTCAAATAAATGAGCTGAAAACTACGATTGCCAAACCAAGTGCTTGTAGAGCTTCATTCGCAGACATTGAGCACGCAGTTCCAAAATTTAGTGGTGATAGTACCGCACAATCAGTTCAACACTTCTTCGACGATTTCGAGGAAATAATGCGTACGGTTAATGCGGACGATCAATTTAAATTGTTAAGCTTACGTCGCTCATTACATGGAACAGCGAGAGTGTTTTTAACGACGACATCTGCACTCAACTATCATGATTTGAGGAAGGCAGTTATAGATGAGTTCGACAGTGCAGTTACTCGCCACGACGTCTACAGAATGTTGAGCGAAAGGAAGTGGAAGCCCCAAGAAGAATCACTGCACTGTTACATATTGACTATGCAGGCTCTGGCGAAACGTGGATGTGTCCAGGAAACTGACGTCATCGACTTGATCTTTGATGGGATCGGGAATAAAATAAACAATATAAATTTACTTATGCCAGCACAATCACTGGACGAGCTGAAGAGGCTAGTGAATCGCTACTATTCCAAATACCTCAAGCCAAATTTTGGTACTGTTCGACGTATGATGCCTGCCGCTGCCGCAAAGCAACCTGCCGTTCCCGTCAAGCCGTCAGCCTCTGATAAGCTTACTGCCGAGTCTGGAGGAAACAGCCAGCCACTATGCTTTAACTGCTCCAAGAGGGGCCACATAAAGCCAAACTGCCCGTATCCGATGCGTCCGAATGGGTCCTGCTTCCGGTGCTGGAAGATGGGTCACGACCATCATTCATGCACCAATCCACGGAAAATTTTGAAGCCGATTGCCGACCAACCAGTTGCTGCCGTTTACGAAAACGACCTCACCGAGCTGGAATCGTTCAATTTTGTAAGTATTGCTTTTGAGACCAATCGACAAGAGAGTGCGAAATTTAATAAATTCATTTCCCTTTTTGATACCGGTAGTCCAACTAGCTTTATGAAGCAATCGTGTGTGCCAAATAATTGCCAAATTTTACGAGAGCCACAACATACTTACCGCAGCATTGGTGGATTAAAACTAAAAATATTGGGTCAAGTCCTTTGTTCTGTGAAATTTAAAAATGAAGTAAAAAATATCAAAATAAATATATTGCCAGAAAATGAAATGTTAGTACCTGTTATTTTTGGACGAGATTTTTTGAAGCAGTTTAACATACGCTTAGCTAAAATAAAACGTAAATATACGAGAGACAATTTATTGATATATAAGAACACTCTTTGCACTCCCTTGTCGAATGACCTGGTCGAAATCTTAAACAAGTTTAGCCTCTTAAAAGCTTATGCGCCACCTAATAACATTAAATCCGGGGACATGATCGGTACGAGTGGGAATGTTGGTCCCAGCGGGCGGGTATCCGTCGAATTGCCGGACATATTCAATATTGAAATCGATAGCCAAAACGAAGAGTTGGATATAGACTTTGCGCTAAATCGTAATCAGCGTGCCGAATTAAGTAGATTAGTGTTCGATTCGTATATAAATCCGAAAGATCTTAGGGTAGAGCCAGTAGAATACGAAATGAAGATTCACTTAACAACTGATGTGCCGTTTTATTGTGCGCCTAGACGTTTATCATTTGCCGATCGTACTGTAGTCCAGGATATTGTAAGAAATTTAGAAAGGGATGGGATTATACGGGCGAGTAATTCTCCTTACGCTTCAGCAATAGTACTTGTAAGGAAGAAGAGTGGCCAGAAGCGCTTATGTGTTGATTATAGGGGTCTGAATAAAATAACCGTACGAGATAACTACCCTCTGCCACTCATAGAGGATTGTATAGAATATCTCGAGGGTAAGAATATTTTTTCTGTTTTAGACCTAAAAAATGGGTTCCACCAAGTTAGTATGTCACCGGAGTCCATTCCATACACTGCGTTCGTGACACCGAATGGACAGTATGAATATCTTAAAATGCCGTTCGGACTTAAAAATGCCCCGGCCGTTTTTCAGCGTTTCATAAACGACATATTTAGAGATTTAGTGGACGCAAGGAAAATTATCATCTACATGGATGATATATTAATTGCCACTGCAACTCTCGAAGAGCATAAAACTTTATTGATGACATTATTGAAGCGTATTAGTAGACGAGGTTTAAAACTAAATTTATCAAAGTGCAAGTTTGGGTATACTCAGATAGAGTACCTGGGATACTCTGTATCCCCAGTCGGAATCACTTTAAGTGAATCTCACGTCAAAGATATACGGAAATATCCAGTGCCATCTAACCAAAAGGAATTACACTCTTGCATAGGTTTATTTTCATATTTCCGCCGATTCGTGCCGTCTTTCTCCAAAATTGCTAGGCCATTGTTAAATTTGCTAAAAAAGGGTGTTGATTTCGATTTCAACGAAAGCTGTATCACCGCATTTGAGCAACTTAAAGACAAGCTAACGCAATCTCCAGTTCTTGCGATCTATAATCCTACAAAGGAAACAGAACTCCATTGTGACGCAAGCACCTCTGGCTTTGGTGCAGTTTTGTTGCAACGGCAACACGACGAGAAGTTTCACCCAATAGCTTATTTTTCTAAGAGTACCTCCGCTGCGGAAGCCAGATACCACAGCTTTGAGTTGGAGACATTAGCTGTAATTTATGCGTTACGTAGATTTAAAGTATATTTGGAGGGGATCCCATTTAAAATAGTTACTGACTGTAACTCACTCGCCATGACTCTAGAAAGGAAACAAGTTAATGCGCGAATAGCTAGGTGGGCTCTTGAGTTAGAAGCATATAATTACAAGATAGTACACCGTAGTGGAGTTCTCATGGGGCATGTAGATGCACTTAGTCGCTGCCAAGTCGGCGCGGCCTTAGATGTTGATGAGGTTGAATTCCAAGTCCAAGTTGCTCAGGAAAGGGACGAGAAAATTAAAAACATACGACATCAATTACAAGAGGGAGTTGTCGAAGGATTTGAATTAGAAAATGGTCTTGTTTTTAAGATTAATCGCAAAGGATGTAAAGTTCTGTATATCCCAAGTGAGATGGAGGATAATATCATAAGGTTGATGCATGAGAAGATCGGACACCAAGCTGTTGATAAAAGCTGTTCAAAAATTAGTCGCCATTATTGGTTCCCTCAAATGCGTCGGAAAGTAGAGTCTTTTATTGGTAATTGCCTTAAATGCATAATGTATGCGCAACCAGTTCGAGCGAGTGAGAGGCACTTATATAGTATCCCTAAGAGGCCAGTACCGTTTGACACCTTGCATGTAGATCATTTCGGTCCCTTACCATCATTAAAATCTAAGAGAAAGCATATACTGGTCGTGATCGACAGTTTTACTAAGTTTGTGAAACTATACCCGACGAACTCAACGAGCACTCGGGAAGTAACTGCCGCAATGGAGAGATACTTCAGTTATTATAGTAGGCCCAGACGAATTATATCTGATAGGGGTGCTTGCTTTACATCGTTAGAGTTTAAAGAGTTTCTATTTCGAAGAAATATAGAGCATGTGAAGGTTGCGGTTGCCTCCCCACAGGCCAACGGGCAGGTTGAAAGGGTTAATAGGGTAATAAAAACGATGCTAGGCAAACTGTGTGACCCCATAGATCATGCCGATTGGTCGAATAGGCTCTTGCAAGTAGAATATGCAATAAATAATTCAGTTCACAGCTCCACAAAGAATTCCCCCAGTATGCTCTTGTTTGGTGTGGAACAAAAGGGAGAGATAGTGGATGAGTTTACGGAATATTTCGATAATAAGTTTGGCAGACAAGAAGTACGGGATTTACAGAGCATCCGACGGGATGCCGCTGAAGCAATTCAAAGCGCTCAAGAGTATAGCCAGGAATATTTTCTAAAACATTGCGTAGAAGCTAAGAAGTACGATGTGGGTGACTTCGTAGTCATAAGGAACGTTGACACCACCGCTGGGACTAACAAAAAACTAATTCCCAAGTATAAGGGACCATATGTGGTATACAAAATTCTCGGGAATGATCGATACGTTATCCGGGACATAGAGAATTGTCAACTAACTCAGCTACCATACGATGGTGTGGTAGAGGCAAATAGAATGAGGAAATGGCTTAAGCAAAACGTAGAGGCTGGACCTGTCGAGGAGTAAAGCAATACTATAACCTAGACTTAGGCCTTGTAACTTAAGACTGTTAATTCTTATTTGTGATATCCGAAACAACTTAAGTGTGTATAATTCAGGTTAAGCCACATTGTAAATCTAGTTATTGATCGAGGTCGATCAACTGTCAGATTGGCCGAGTTGTTAGCATTTTCTTTCCTATCGCTGTTTTCCCGTATGCAACTGTCTTGCTCGGTGGCAACCCTGCCTATCGCACTTCTTTTCCTTTTCTTACTCCTCTACTTCTTTCAATTCCTTTCGTCTCCAGCACATAATTCTATTGTGAATGTTAACATAAAAATTATTACTCTGCGAACATTCGAGACAGAAGCACGCCGTCTAAATTGTGTCTTTTACAATCCTAAAAAAAAAAAATAAAACCTTTTGCGTTTAGAGGATAACTAGATATGAAACTCTTTTTCTCGTGAGAGCTCTGTCAAAGTGTGTATTTTTTATAACAATGTCCAGTAGAGCCACTGTGACGAAAATATGTATGGGCATTTATAGAGAAATTTATGGAGAAACTTTTGATTAAACACAACGAACAAAGTTGCAATATTCTTCATATTTATTTTATATTTCAGTGTTTATATTGCCAGTTAAATCGCGTTTAGTTACAAATACTGTCTTATAGTAATATTAAAAAATGCGGGAAGAAGAAATCCACTGAATTCAATGTGATGCATTTTCCACACATGTAGTGGTAGCACGCCACTTCGCGTGTCAGCTGTTTATCTGCCCAGGGATTGGCAGTGCTACCAAGTACGAAAACGAGTTCCTGGGCGCGCTCTCAGAAAAAATGAGAGAGTTTCAAATCTAGTTATCCATGACATCATTCTGTACTTAGGGTTCGAAATTTCAGACGTTGGTATCGATACTGAGTAAACATACTGGCATCGAGCTTATGGTATCGGTACTCTAAAAGTATCAGGGAAAAAGTAACGATACTACGCAGTATCGGATTCATTAAAATACGTTTTTTGGGATACTAAAATTATTTTATTTTTCAATCGTATATCTAGTTATTTCCTGAAATAAAACAATGGAAATTTAACATATTTGATTTTTATTTCATTGCAGAACTTACTTTCATGTTAGAAGTAATTTTAACGTTAAATGCACATACATACATACACATATGTATATATATGTATATATATATATATATATATATATATGTACATATATATACTTTCACGAATTTCAAATTTTATTAAGAAATTTTTTAAACTTTTCGGACATGCATTTTTGTATCCTATTCAATTTTAGTATAATAATGTGGAAGTTTGAATTAAAAGTCAATGGTAGTAGGCTAAACTTGAATAGGTTGCAAAACTGCATACCCAAAAAGCTTCTAAAAATTCTGCCTTTTCGTGAACTTTGCGTAAAGTTTTATGGCCTTATTCATAAAAAATAAAAAAGGTATATAAACTGAAGAATGTATGAAAATGTCACTTTATTAAGCTCTTTAAACCTACTTTATTTTGTATGAATAAGGCTATTAAACTTTAACTAATTTGGTTTATGTTATGCAACCGATTACACGCAATTTTAGTTTATTTTAAGTGATGGACAAATTTTAATGATAGTAATCCATATAAGCAAAGAAAATTGGGTTGCCAATGGAAGAAAAAATTTAAAAAGTGTGTTTTTTAATAAGTATTCGATACTACGAGTACTGTGCAAAGTATCTAGTAAAATCACCAAATAAGGTATCGAGTATTAAAGTACTCATTTTTATACCCCCAGTATCGATACTTACTCAATATCGATAGTATCGTTCGAACCCTATCTGTACTGGTGTGTGCAACAAATGTGGACAAGAAGGAGAAATGTACACTTCCGGCTGAGCAAGCAAAGAGTGCTGACGGCTTTTTCTGTGCAAAAATTACCAAGAATTTATTTTATTATCAGACAACT